GCAGGCGTCTAAGAACTCGCGCATGCGCGTTACAGATGTGAGCGGAGTTACGTGTTTACAAGTAATGCTTGAACCTGCCCGCATTATTATGTCTTAAACGCATCTTATTAACAGCACGCATTCCGTAGTTTCATATTTATGAAGTTTTAAGTGAAATATTAAATACGTTGAAATTACGTCTTCGCGTAGACCAAATTTCGCCGACCAGTTCATTAATTATTATGAAAATCTTAACGTTAATATCGTCTCTCTTTCAACCTTACGTTACAACATGACACATTGATCAACAAATTAACGTTTTCTGGCACGTTGATGTTTCATCCCATTCTAGACGGTTGAAAAGACGTTGAAATGAGGTCTTAGACGTTCAGACCTCATTTCAACCCGATTTCAACCATATTTCAACGTTGAAATTACGTCTTGTGCTCACTGGGAAACGTAGAAGAAGACAGCAGCTGTCGCAGAAAAGCCAAAAGAAAATGCAGTTTTATTCATGCGTCTACGAAAGACGCACTACGGGCTTCATATTCAACCGCCAAGACAAATTCCTTGCATGTTTGGCATATTTTGGTAAATAAATGTTTCCTGATTCCTGATATCTGCTGAGTTACAGAGTAGGGAGAAAGGGGCTGCCGCACACAATGGCCGAAGACGTGTGTTTGCCAGCGGCCAAAGAAATGGTGGCGTGTATGATTGGAGAGAAAGAGGCAAGAAAGTTGGACATGATTCCTGTGTCCAATAACACTGTGTCGCGCCGCATTGATGCCATGTCTGAAGACATCCTGGCTGTACTACTCAGCCGTGTGAAGAAAAGTGAGTTTTACTCTCTGCAAGTAGACGAGTCTACAGATGTTGCAAATCTGGCCAATCTTCTTCTCTATGTCCGTTACCTTTTTGAAGGATCGGTACAAGAAGAGTTTTTGTTCTGTCGGCCCCTTGCTACCCGAATAACAGGACAGGAAATCTTCAATTTAATTGACGTTTTTATGAGGACCAATGGCATCGACTGGGAGCGCTGTGTGGGAATTTGCACAGACGGGGCAAAATCAATGACGGGGAAACACACGGGGCTTATAGCTCATATTAGGAGAGTCTGCCCATCCAATCAGCTGCAGTATTCACAGAGAGGCCCTCGCAGCCAAAAACATGCTGATCTACTTGCAGCGCTGAACGGCGCAGTCAAACTGGTGAACTTCATTAAAGCTTGTCCGCTAAATTCACTAATATTCACACTGTTATGTAACGAGATGGGCAGCGAACACAAATCACTGCTGCTGCACACAGAGGTGCGTTGGCTGTCCCGCGGCAAAGTGCTGACAAGGCTCTTTGAACTCCGGCACGAATTGCAGCAGTTTTTTGAGGAGAATCCGTTTCATTTGGCCTCCAGTATGCATGACGAAGATTTTCTGAAAAGGCTCGCCTATCTAGCGGACATCTTCTCAGCTCTGAATGAACTCAATCTAAGTCTGCAGGGAGTCAGTGTAACTGTGTTCAACACACAAGACAGGGTTGAGGCCATGATAAAGAAGCTACGGTTCTGGGCAAGTTGTGTGAGTGGGAACACACACCTGTGTTTCCCTACGCTTCACGAGTTCTTGGGGGAAAATGACGTGCACCTTGGTGAGCATGTAAAAACTCTTATAATTGAACACCTCAACCAACTCGCCGAGCAGCTACGGAAACATTTTCCACCTATGGACACATCTGGCGCTTGGATTCGCAATCCATTTGAAGTTTCCCTGCCCGTCCCACAGCTGTCATTACACGAGCAGGAGCAGCTGATCGAGCTGTCATCTGATGGAGCACTGCAGTCACAGTTCAAACGAAAGCCACTTGTGGATTTTTAGACCGAGTCTCTCTTTCTCTTTCTCTCTCTGCAGGCTGAGCGACTTTTGCGCTAGACTTGAAAAGTTCCGGATGGATCCTCTTTTATCGTCTTTTAATTTATTTTATGTTTGACCGCTCTTTGTTACTTAATTATGTTGTGGATCGTGTGTAGGCTAATTTTATTGTCGCACTTGAAAAGTTTCCGTTTTTATTTATTTTATCTATTTCGGAGCCTATTCTTTTTAATGTTGTGGATTGTTTGTAATTCATTGCAGTTTAATTCAGCCTGTGTTGATGTTGTCATTGTCATGCGTGTTGTGGTTATTTGCGCATGTTTAAACATGAGTCTATATGACGATAAAACAAAGTTTTGTTGCGTTTTTTTCTAAGTGTGAATTGGGGGTGCGCCAACCCGGTTGGGACATGGAAGGGGGTGCGCAGGAAAAAAAGTTTGGGAACCGCTGTCATAGAGGTGACGGTGGGGAGGTTCAGTCTCAGAGGAAATTGTTCTTTTACCAACACAATGAGAGCATCTACAGCACTTCTAATGTCCACATCTGTGCCATGCTCACAATCAGGATCTTTAAGGCGAGCAGCCATTCTTGTGGTGTTGAACACACTCTGAACCATGTGATAGTCATGTGTCAGAAGTCTGCACATCAGACGCCGCAGCTCTGACATGCTAGGATGGTATTTTCTGACAAATTTCTGAAGATCAGTCTCCCACTTAGCAAGATTGTTCTTGGGACTGCAGACGTGGCTCATTGCCTTGGTCACATCGGCATCGGACCAGGGTCTGAGAACCAGCATCGGCCCTTGCGCCCCCTCCACTGGAAAAGAAGCTGCAGGATCGAACAAAGTCTTTGAAGTAGAAAGAATCTGGCTTCCCTCCTGGTGGGCTGTTGTCAAGCCGAGGAAGGTTTGCTTGTGCTGCTTCCTGCTGAGGAGACTGCGAGCTCACGAAGGCTGGAGCTGGAGGAGCAGTGAGGGGAGGGGGGGAGTCCAGATCCGTGTCCACCAATCTCCTCAGGAACTCATAAAAACAAGGATAAAGTGTTTTTGGGTTAGAAGGGTTACACGTTTCAAAACTTTTTGTAGGATCTTCGGTCTTTAATGAATTAAATGCTACCAACCTCTGTCTCTCCCTCCTCTCCGACTCATACTTCCACATCTTGAAAGCTTCCCAATCTGCCTTACATACCACATTCTTCTTCTGCTTTCTTCCCGAAAGGCCTGCATGCTGAGCTGCATCGTTCTCCTCCTTCCCCCTAAGTTGCAATTCCAACTGTTCCAATTGATTCTCACTCAAACTCCCCTTTGAAGGAAACCCCAATTCAACCCATTTCTGTTTTTGATTCAAACTGCCAGGATTACGCTCTGACATAAATTTACACAATAGTGGCAGGATATTAGTCTCATGGTTTTCACCCGTCTCCCCTTTACTCTGAACACTACTCATTTAGTTATCTGTATCTGTATACCCGGAGTGTACGCGCCTATAAAGGTGCGCACAAACGGAGAAATACCACATGCATAACTAAGTCAAGTCAGTTGACCGTTGCTTTCTCTGGTCACACAGTCTACGCGACTCACTAAGTCACGCCTGTGAACTTCAGACACAGGATGTTGCAACTTTGTGACGAATACTACAGGTGACCCAGACACGTCTGTCTACAACACACTCGTTGTGAGATAGGCCTAAAACCCTTTTTATCATGACTGTCTGCCTTAAAATAATTTTGATCTCTCACCGCGTGTTCGTCGTTTCTTTTTCTTGAACTGGATGGATCGGCAATCCAGGTCTCGTCGGGACGGCAGCTTCTCACCCTTAGGGAGGAATCACCTATACTATATGTCCTCCTGTCCGTCCGTCAGAGTCCAGATCACGCGTCCATCCCATCCTCGTCGCCAAGTTTGTGGTGGAAATTTGTGGATTTAGTCCATGTGAGAAATCAAAAGTATCTTGAGCTTGCTTTGTGATTAAGTATTTATTACTAACTAGAATCTAGGAAAAAGATAAAGAATACAGAAATCATCAGCACAAGTCGTAAGCACAGACAGAAGTCAAATGACTACAATTTAGCTGAAAAGGGACAGATGTTCCTTCTCCCAAAAGGAGCAGGAAGATCTGACCAAGTTGAAGAGGAGAACAGGAGCTTATGTACACTTCAGGGAGGTTTGTGGTGCCTCAGCACAGGAGAGCCCACCTCTCAAAGAGGAGTGTTGGAAAAGTACCAGATGATGTAGGGGTGACCCCGTGACCCTCCCTTAAGGGACCCAGACAATCAACAACATCTAAAAGGTCAGTCAGGGCACGTATGATTTGTGTCTTATCTCACCCTGGACTGCCTTAAGTCACCGGCTCACATCAAAGGTCACATTCCTGAGAGCCTCACCCCACGCAGGCTCAACAATTTTCCCCCAACAAAGATTATTATTGCAATCCAAATGTAGTAACTAGAGGACATGAACATCAATAACTATCAATTGCATTATCCTGTAAATGATTCTGCCCAAATGCCTGCAATTTAATGCATTCTCACTTCAAGGCAGGATCTCAAAATCAGAATCAATTCTGATTTAACACAAACCAGTTAGTGAAGTGAACCGGGAACTTTAGGGGCCCCCGGAGCCGCTTTGTCTGTTTCGCAAGGCCAATGGAAAACTGAATAAACATTACTTTGATGACGATGTCAACATCTTGAGTTGTGAATCTTTCAGATTGTTCTGACATTATTATTAGAAGACTCCTGTGTTGGGACTGAAGCTACAGAGCCAATGATCACAGGACTTGTCACAAACTCTTTGTTCACTGCTGTGTTTTTCGGTGACTGTTCCGCACGCCGCCTGATCACAGAGTGCACTTTCTGTTTGTGACATGTTGTGTGTTTTGTGTACGGAAGTGGTCAGCCGGTTGTAAGGTCAGAGGGTAAAGGCTATCCTCCTTCGATTGAGAATACAACACAGCCATCTTGGATCTAACGTAGAGAAGGGAAATTGATGCGGTGAGGAGATATATATATATATATATATATATATATATATATATATATATATATATATATATATATATATATATATATATATATATATATATATATATATATATATATATATATATATCCTATATATATATATATATACATTTATTTTTTTTGTCAAATTGAATCGGCTCGGTTCACGTTTCAGCTTTGCGCTACGTGACATTTATTTGACGGGTTTCCTCCCCTTCGAAACGGCCCGACTCTTTAGCCTTTAGCTCCGGCAGCTTGTCACCGCTGTTCTGGCTGCTGCTGCTGCAGCTGCAAACGGAGCGTAAACTGAGCCGCGAAAACGGACAGCTGGCCGTGGATATACGGAGGTCCCGAGGGCGCAGCACGCTGCCGTATAGCCACCGCTGCTGGGGAGCGTAGTCGGGTTGTTTCGGAGTTGAAAGGTTTCGGTATGTTGCGGAAGGCAGTGCGCTTAGGAACTCGGGCTAGCTACGCTAACGCGGATTGAATAGGAGCACTTAGCCTGCTAACGTTAGCTAGCTGCACTAGCCCTGGCTAACTAGCAGGTTAGCATTGCTGCTGTTCATTTTCACAACTGTCAAATTGGGTTACTATTCACTGTTTAACACGAATAACTAATACCAGTGGTAGTTCAAAGCGGGCAAAGTCGACTGTTGTTGATGCTGTCACTTGATTTAAGTGAATCGTGCTATGTTATAGTATACATTGTTTTGGGGTTTTTTAAATAAAAGTTCAACACGCTCTTCCGATACGCGTGTACATCATTTTGATATTAGACACATACTTTTAAAACTGTGTAGCGAAGCCCCACGAAGACAAATATATCATTGCGATTTGAAACTGAACTAGAATAAACAATGCATACCGAGTTTTCCATTTTAGTGCATTCATAGAAAGGTGGATTCAGGAGTTGCAACGACCAAAAGCCTGAATAAATGTTGTCAATCATATTGTAAAGAGGCGTTTTACAGCAGTGGGAAGACTCAAGGTAAAAACTTTGCCAGATAAAAGGGTTCAACGTACTGAAGAAATGTGAAATTTACCCTCAAAACTGTGTACTTCCTCCCAGACTACTTTCCCTTGCAAGTCTTTTAACAGCAGCTCTTCTCTCTTCCTCAGGTGACGAAAGGCATGTTTGGTGCTAGAAAGAAATTTGTAGAGTTTGTCGAGGTAGTCGATAATGACTTCGCTGACGAAAGCATGTACTACAGCCAGTCGTCGATGTTCCCACATCGGTCGGACAAAGATGTAAGTTTTGTCAACGTATCCGCACGCTCCTGCCGTGTCCCGATTCGACAGCCGGAGGAGGAACTTTCTGGTCGTCTTACTCTTTCTAGTCTTCAAATGTTTTCCTTCAGATGCTGTCGTCTCCCTCGCCGTCGTCGTCGTCGGGTCAGCTGTCGCAGCTCGGTGCAAGTTTGTACGGTCCGCAAAGTAAGTGTTTCCTTTCTTTCTACAGTCAGCCCCCACAGCTGATGAGGAGCTTAGCTCTTAAAGTTTTTATCCTGGTTTTCCTTCCGTGCCTTTCCGCAGGTGCACTTGGCTTCTCGGTGAGGGGCATAGGGAACAGCACGCCGCAGTTAAATCGAAATCTAACACAAGGCACGCAGCTACCAAGTCATATCACCCCCACGACCGGGGTCCCCACCATGTCCCTCCACACCCCTCCGTCACCAAGCAGGTGGGAATGAAGGCAGACCCAGTTAAGACGCGTACTTGTGTGAATAGAAACAACATTTGAGGTGCCACGTGTAAAGACTTAAATGCACTTTAATCAGACCGGTCCATGTTTCAACAGGGGGACGTTGCCGATGAACACGAGGAACATGTTGAACCACTCTCAGGTCGGTCAAGGCATTGGGATGAGTGGCAGGACCAATAGCATGGGCAGCTCGGGGCTCGGGAGTCCCAACCGCAGCTCGCCCAGTATCATCTGCATGCCCAAACAGCAGCCGGCACGCCAGCCGTTCACCATAAACAGGTAGACGGATCCGGCCAGAGCTCCGCGCTTCTTTGTGTCCTGATGGAGATGTTTTTTAAGGAATATCTTTTTTATTTTTTGGCCTCATCTTTTGTTTTCCTTTTCTTTTTTCTGTGCAGCATGTCAGGCTTTGGTATGAATCGCAATCAGGGGTTTGGGATGAACAACTCGTTATCAAGCAACATCTTCAATGGCACAGGTTAGTGTGTTTACTCGTGATGTATCAGGGGATCATTAGTTTAAAGTTGCATTTAAATAAACACTCCGGTGTTTGTTTTGAATATGACAAATCCATCCTACGTTAAACTACGTGAGGATTATATTTCATCAATATACCTTGCTGCACAATTGTTGAAACTGAGCTGCTGACATGACGAGACGACCTTGATCACTGTAACATGCAGTGAAGTGTGTCTTCTTAAAGATAGCATCGCTTCTTCTAGACGCATGCGGTCAGAGTGATCAGCAGTTTAAACTGATGTCTCTTTTGTCTTTAAGAAAAGAAATAAAAAAATTTAAAAAAGGAGAAAAAGAAATCTGGAAAAACTGAAAGCATTGTATCAATTTATCTTTGACTGCTGAAAGAGACGGTGAGTGAATATTATTGTAACTAGCTGTTGTGTTCGGTCAGCAGTGTCTGCTTAGAGGAGGGCCATTTATTCCTAGAATGACAGGGTAACACAATTAGACCGACAAGTTAATAATCGACACATTACTACACAGATGCAGTGAGTTGCAGGAGACATTACATATTACAAGCTCCTAACCTTCCTATTACTGCAGATGGGAGTGAAAATGTAACGGGACTGGATCTGTCAGACTTCCCTGCGTTAGCAGACAGGAGTCGGAGAGAAGGGACTGGAAACCCAACACCGGTGCTCAACCCACTGGCTGGACGGGCTCCTTATGGTAGGCCATTAGGCCATAGAAAGTGTCTCACATTTACCCACATTAAGCTTTAGGAAGAAGGTTACCCCGAATAGAGAGAAAATTAAAAATAGCTTCTGGATTTGAGTTTATAGCATTAGCCAAGGTTTTCTTTTTAAACAAGAATAGCTTATGATTCCTTTTTTTCATTGTGTTTTATTGGGGAATTATAATCTGTACTTCACTATGTTCATCGTCATCATCATCATCAAGTTGGCATGGTGACAAAGCCGTCGACGGAACTAACACAGGATTTCTCCATCCATAACGAGGACTTCCCTGCGCTGCCCGGGCTGAACTACAAGGACCCCACGTTGAACAACGACGACAGCAAAACCGTAAGTGTGAGCCACCGAGGACTCTGCAGCTCAGTCTGACCGGTTGTCAAGGTTACTCGTTAAATCTAACTATTGTTGTTTTGGTTTTCTGTGCTTTTTTTTTTAGAACTTGAACTCCACAAGCAAGAGCACATCCAATGCAGATGGGCCCAAGTTCCCCGGAGACAAGACGACCACAGCACAGAACAACAACCAGAAGAAAGGGATCCAGGTGTTGCCCGATGGTGAGACCTCTCAGCCAATCGTATCGCTCCAATTCCACTGAGACATCCCTTCTTAATGCAAGTTGTGAGGGGTGAGGCAGCTAGGCTCTCTACCCTGCATTTGGGGTTGGATAATTATTGGATAGGCTGCAGTGAGGAAACCGCAATAACATTCAGTGTGAAACAGACCATCATCATCTTTACATTTGTCTGTTTGTGACCATCACCGTCATCAAGAATTGGCTTGGTTTTCTCTCCAATGAGTGTGTGGGTCTAAAACGTGGAGGTAATGTATTGACGGTAAGTACTTCCAGCGGTTTGTTGAACCATGAATTATCCTGCGGTTGCAGGTCGGGTGACGAACATCCCCTCAGGAATGGTGACGGACCAATTCGGCATGATTGGCCTGCTGACGTTTATCCGGGCAGCAGAGACCGATCCGGGGATGGTACATCTGGCGCTCGGAAGTGACCTCACAACGCTGGGACTCAACTTAAACTCACCGGAGTAAGACCTCTGTTCTACGCTTGATTCTGCAGCTTTTAAATTGTCTTAAAGATCTAATCTCAAAGAGTTTAAATATGACTGTAAAAGGTGTCGGCGGTACGGTTGTTCATTTATGTAAATCTTCAGTTTAATTACGCCCCAGCCTCCTTCTGTTTCCCCAGCGTTTGCTGCGTTTTCAACATCTCTGTATTGATCTCAATAGTTTTTTTTGTTGTTATTTTGAAGTGCTTCCAATTGTCTTTCGTACCAGGAACTTACTCCAACTTTCTTTCTTTACAGAAACCTGTACCCCAAGTTTGCCTCTCCTTGGGCCTCATCGCCATGTCGGCCTCAAGACATCGGTAAGACGTACACCTCAATTATGTGGAAGAGGATGACATTTTAATCTATTAGAATAAACCTAATTTAGTGATCCAGATGTTTCAAGATTTGACCGAGCTGGCGCCAAACCATTTTTACAACAAATTACAATGCACACTGTTGCCAACAGTTTGTGAAGGTGAATGATTGCAAATTTGAAGGGAGGACACATTCGATAAGCAGTGACAGCTGATATTTCAAAGCAATCGCATGTGGCAGTTCCGGCATTGCGTCATAATTTTTTTTCCCCACCACAAAGCGCTCCGGTCTTCACATCTCTCTGTTGGCATGACAGCAAATGGAGAAAAGGTCTATGACCAATTTAAGATGACATGTTCTAGTCACTCCTACTTCTTGCCTTTGCAGACTTCCACGTTCCGTCTGAATACTTAACCAATATCCACATAAGGGACAAGGTAATTACGAGCCTCAGCCTCAGTGCCGATGGCAGCGGTTGCAGTCTTCATGGTGTACATGTCAGCACTCAGCTAATGCTCTTTATTCTTTGCCGTCCTTCCTCCAGTTGGCAGCAATTAAACTGGCACGATACGGTGAAGACCTGTTGTTCTACCTGTACTACATGAATGGGGGAGACCTGCTACAGCTTCTGGCGGCAGTAGAGCTGTGAGTACTTGTACTGTAAATGTATTTCTCTGTCCGAACATCGCCGGCGGCTTTCGAAGGCGTTCAGGGGAATATTTTGGGGCGACCGCGGCACACGGACACCGCAGGGCTGGTGGTTCGAACCCCGGCTGCCCCCCCACGTGTCCCTGCGCAAGATGCTGAATCCCTAACGAGCAGCTTTACGGCAGCGCGCTGTGCACTTTCTTCTTCTTTGATTCCTGTGGCTTTTCGAATCTGTCTTGGGTGAAAATTCAAGCCTTTCACTCGTCTCCTCATTTGTCTTGTTCCTTGTCCATAACTTCACCCTCCAGTTTCAACCGGGACTGGAGGTATCATAAAGAAGAGCGGGTTTGGATAACGAGGGCGCCCGGCATGGAGCCCACGCTGAAGACCAACACCTACGAGCGGGGAACCTACTACTTTTTTGATTGTCTCAACTGGAGGAAAGTAGCCAAGGTAGGAACTGGGCCTCTCTAAAACTGGCACAAAGTTTGACTGACCTGCCGTGCTAATGTTGCGTTTGCATCTCGAAAGGAATTCCACCTGGAGTACGATAAGCTTGAAGAGAGGCCTCACGTGCCAACGACATTCAACTACAACCCAGCGCAGCAGGCCTTCTAAGGCCCGACCAGTCCAGAGGGCCGCAACGGTTCCTGCACACAACCCTGTTGTCCAGGAGGGGCGCTGTGGTTGACGCGGCTCGGTTTTTATTCCTCGTGGATTTGGCTATCTGACTGTGGGGGGGGGCGGGGGAAGGGGTCGTCGGCGCCACCACCACCACCACCATCAAAACTGCCGCCTATCCCAAATTTCATGCTGGCCAGAAACAACAACAAACACCTGTTCTGTTTTTATTCTTTTTGTTTGTCCTGGGTTTTTTTTTGACTTGTTTTGAGCAGGGTCTGTGTTATGTTTACGTCTCTGAATCTGAAGCTCGTTTTCTTTTAGAAAGGAGGACTGACCCTGTGACAGACGACAGTGACAGAACGAGGTTTACGAACAGGAAAAAAAAAAAGGCAAGGAGAGTTAACATCCTCAGACGCAAGTGAAAGGGTGAAATAAATGCAATGTTTATTGTTGCACTATATTTAGTAATAAAAGAACACAAAATTTGTTTGTGATTTTTTTTTTTTATATGAACACTCCCTGAATATTTTTTTCCCCTTTTCCTTTGTTACGGGTCGGGCGGGTTCATGCAACTACTCCAAATGCATCCCTCTTCATCTCATCCTTTTTATTTTATCTTCCACTTACAGTGACTTCCACCTTTTTTGTATTTGCAACAACAAACTGTTTCCTGTCTCATCCTCTGCTTCTCCTTCTGTGCCAGTTGAACATGGACACTAATCTGGGAGATTACTTTGGTTTCCACAAATGTGGACAAATCCTCCACGTTGCTCGTGAGCAAAAGATAACAATTTCCAGTCTTCGTTACAATTTTGTAAGAAATGTGTACATTTTTGTTGTTTCTTTGCATCACATGAATTAGTATATATGTGTATATATATGACTGCTATATATATATGTATATATATATATGTATGTGTATATATATATATGACATCTATTTTGGAAGAAATTTTGCCCTGCCTTTTACCTCGTTTTTCATGAGGTGAGCATGGATGCAATATGTGGACGCAACAGGACATTTCTTGATCTGCTGGCCAGGGTGTCGACTGGCACTGTGGGCACTTACATCAAAGGAAAACAAAATTTAAATGTAATTTAAGGAAAGGCCTGATTCTCAGCTGAAATCCCCCCCAACAAAATATAAACACGGAGATCACCTCACAAATTTGGAGTCAACATAAAATAGATGTATTTCGGCTCAAGCTGTTCGGACAGCAGCATTTCATAGGAAACTGAAAATTGTTAAATTGAGGGGAAAAAAACCCCCAGACCAATCTTGTATTTCCAGAAGTTCAAAGCTTCTTTTCTTTGTAATAAAGCAGAAAAGGCTTTCCTCAACCACCGTGTGTTTATTACTGTTAAAGTGACAGAACCTCTGAGTCATTTCTATTAGAATGAACTAAACCACATGTGTAGTTCAGCTTTGTTCACAGTTACACTGACAAACAAGCAGAATATTATTAGAACATGTCATCGGGCCTTTATACATTCAATTCAGAGTGCAAGTTTCATTAGTCATGGAATGTACCACAGCTAGTAGTTGTTTTATGAAGGCACATTCACAACTTGTACAACGTATAAAATGGATAAAACAATAGCTGTACACAAATATGGCACATAATTGCTCTCCGGGCAAAAATGTGAAAAAGCCATGGGTTTAAAGTGTAATGTAAGTCGCTTTGGATAAAAGCGTCTGCTAAATGACCTGTAATGTAATGTAATTTACACAGGCATTTGAGACAGCGGCCATTAAAGGCCGCGAATGAAAGGATGTGGCAAATAAACGCACAAATAAAGAAGCAAACCGGTCGCTGATCACTAGAGGTCACGCAGAGCCGTGACGTCCGCTGCAGAAAGCCAACACGCCACAACTGAAAGTGCGAGTGTTAGAAGGCAGTGTGGCAGAGGAACGTGTCGACGTCCACATTACACCTGCTAAGCCACCCAGCCACCTGAAATTGCAGTCGTTTGCGTAAATGCTTCAAATTACTTTTTTTTTTTAGATGTTACAAACACATTAAAAGTTGTGGAGATGTCCTGTAGACGCTTCCTGCTGTTGTACTTCAAGTACGGGACGTAATACAATATCCGTTGGCTGTCTGTTGTTCGTCAGTAAACGCTCTTCAAACTCCCTCTTCCTGCAGGGCTCATGTCGCAGCACTCACGCTTTGAACACTGAGCCGCTGTTCTGACGGGGAGAGTCACTTTGCGATGGGATCGGTGAGCACTTCTCACCCACAATAAACCAGGAAACAAAAAAGTAACGTGTAATGTATTTTAAATGAATGGCAGGAGAGTTATTTCAGTGATCTAAAAAAGGAGCTTAAAGACACCGACCTCCTCCTTCATTAATCCTCTACAAAAAGCCTTCATAACAGGTTGGGTGTGCCGGTGGTTTTGCATAATTAAAAGACTCCATTAATCAGAACACAGCCAAACCTTTCTCTTTCTTCTCCTGTATCTCCTCGGCTGCGGTTTTATCTGCTCTGAAGAAGATCCGCGCGCTGCTCAAGGAGAAGTGGAGCAGCTCAAACTCCTGAAGGGAAGAAGAAACAACGATCTCACATCAGAGGGTTATCGGGTTGTCCGACGCCGCGAGGCGAAGAATCTGCTTGAGATGCTCGATTGATTCATATGATCAGCAGCTGGAGCGGTTTCTGTGACAAACCGCTTAAGGGGCCATTAAAGAAGTAAAAAAAACAAAAACTCCCATTAGCTCAGAATTGCTGCAATAACCGTCCAAGATTGTATTATCTGTAGGAGGAGTTTCTGAAGACTAAAATGTCAGAAAACTTTTCATCATTATCTAAGTGAGTGGGAGTAGTTTGTACATCCGTGGCTACATTACAAAAAGAAACGTCAAAAGATGATTTAATGCGGCCAATCAGTCAAGAAATACCTCACAGAGTCCATGACAACGTTATATTTCCTGTTGACATCCCCCCGCTAGAGGGACTGTACCTGGAGATAGAAATCCAGCCTTTTCTGAGTGAGGTTCATCGTTTGCAGGAGCTTTTCATCCTGGCCGGCAGTCTGGACGCTCTGCTCCTTCACCACGGCGTTCATCTCCTTCTTGTACTTATCTCTGACGGCCTGGAACCAGTGCAGGGAGTCAAACTCCAGGTACTGGTCCAGCAGCTTCAGAATGTACGCCACACCTGCGACGCCGAGAGCGAGGGCGGGAACGGCGTGAGAATCGCCACAGCGAAGCGTCGCCGGCACGCACATTGAGACGATACTCACCCATAGCGAAGCCATCGTCTGTGAACGCGGCTCCGGTTTTGTTCTTCTTGTTCAGTTTCTCTTTGCAGCTGATGGAGTGCTCCACGAAATTCACCGTCTATGGGGGAGATTAGCTGTGCATCAATTACCGCGAGCCCCCCGCATGGACTATCTTGACCGAGTCTATAACTGAAAAACAGAACATTCCAAAACTGATTTATGAAGCTAAAGCTCAACTTAAAATTAACCAAAATCCTCTTCTGTGAAGGCAGCTTAAAATGACCCTACCTAGCAGCTTTCTGGGTCTCCTCTGACAGCCCCTCCTCTTTCACCAGCTCCTCAAAGTTGACTATATCCTCCAGGTCAGGGACAAACCTGACACAAAAACACACCAGTGAGATATGACAGCAACTCAAGGATTTATCCTAATATTTCAATAAATCATTTTAGAGGCTTTCACAGGCACATTTTGCCCAATATGTAAAAATAATATACAACATAATTAATATATAAAATAATAAAAATACAATAGCACAAATGTACAAAAGCAGGATTTGGACTGAAGCACTGCTGCAACAGTGGAGTCCTCCAGAGCGGATCATACGCACATAGCCCATGGCGTTACCTGCAAAACAAAAGTTTATATATATATATATATATGTGTAGTTATAAATGTAAATGTATAATATATATATATATTAGGGTTAGGGTTATATATTTCTCACCAATTTGGCTGATGAGCTGTCTGAACTGGTCCAGGTAGCTCTGTCCATCTGGAGTGATGCCCAGCTTCCTGATACCGCGGTTAAACTTCTCTGCTCGCTCGAATGGATACTGCAACAAAAACATGGAACATGAGTGACGTGAAAACACATGTTTTAATTCCAAGAATAGAGAATCCAGAAAGACCATTTAAAAAAAACTAAACAAGCACAACATTTTGTGAAACAGTCCAATGTGCTACATTTGTGCGACCGCGTGCGGCCTATGGACAGACACCAAGCGTTTCCTACCTTCTGATCAGACTGGTCCTTTGTTTCCCTGAAGAAGCAAATGTCCTTGATGAGTCTGGACTTGATGTGTTCGTCGTACATGAATTGACTGAAGATGTAGAACTTCTTGCGCAGGAACTGGTAGGTGAAATTCACCTGATTGAAAGAAGAGTGCAGCTGTGCAACAGGTTCTGTGAAACCCTTTGCGCCCACATCCGAAAGAAAAGGACACAGACGGACACCTGAGCTGTGAACTCACCGTTGTGTTCATGATGCCCGTGCCGTGGGTCCGGATGGAGTTGGCGATGTGACGGATGTTGATGGTGTTCAAGTGCTTGTTGTTACTGGCCTTCTCTACGAAGATCTGTCGGAGAGCAAAAACCCGTTCAAACCAGGTTCAGCGTCCAGAAGGTGGACATCGGATGCGACATGTCTTACCTGGTTGTTGAGGTTATAAAGGTAGCGGGAGACAAAAACGTGAATGTTCCTCATGATCTCCAGGACGTCCAGACCCTGACAAGGACACACAGTTATAACCGACCACATATGCGTCGCCTGAATCAGAACTCCACCTCTGTCCTGATGTGCACACTGACCTGCTCCAGGGTCTGGCTGGGCAAGTGGGCCTCGGTCATCATGAGTCCGTAGCGCTGCGTGGCCAGGTTCCTCATCTCACTGTAGGTGGCCCAGTCGTGGAGAGCGACAGTGGTTAGGTTGTAGAAGGTTTTATCCAGGTAGTGGGTCACATAGGCTGCATGGAAAAAAAATAGTCTTGTAGTCTTGCACTCAGTCCAGCACTCAGAGAACGCACACTTCAGCCAACATTGAATTTGATTACATTTGAAATAAATGTACATGAAGAAAAAAAAAAACGTAACGCAACGTTTTTCACCTTTGATAAAGATGAAGCAGTTGAAGAATCGGATGGGTTTGAGGGAGAAGAAGTGGGCCAGGTCCTTCATGCCGACTTTGAACGGGTTCCTGTCGTCCAGCTTCAGATGGGTGTGGACAGACAGACGCAGGTCCTTCTCAATCTCCTTGCACAGCTTGTCCAGTAGGTGCTACAGTGAGAACGAGATGTGTAAATGCACATGAAGGTTAAGGATGGGACCGCAAAGCTCCTTGATTTGTACAAAGTAACCAAATTCCTTAACTTTAAGCCTCAACTCTTGGACATTACATTACATTACATGTCATTTAGCGGACGCTTTTATCCAAAGCGACGTACAATAAGTGCATTCAACCATAGGGTACAAACTCAGAAGAACAA